TTATCAGTAGCATCATCATCATCATCAGTAGCATCATCAGAGTAGCATCATCATTATCAGAGCATCATCAGGGTAGCATCATCATCAGAGTATCATCATCATCATTATCAGTAGCATCATCATTGTCAGTAGCATCATCATTGTCAGTAGCATCATCATTGTCAGTAGCATCATTATCAGTAGCATCATAAGCAGCAGCAGCAGCATCATCATCAGCAGCAGCAGCAGCATCATCAGCATCATCATCAGCATCATCATCAGAGTATCATCATCATTATCAGTAGCATCATCATCAGCAGCACCACCATCAGCATTACCACCACCACGACCATCACGATGGTGGTGATGGTGGTGATGGACATGAGGAGGAGTGGAGAGTGAGGAGCGTTTGGGTACCCAGATGTCAACGCGGGGTCTCCTGCTGATGCTGATGCTGCTGCTGATGCTTGTGGACGGTCTCTCTTCCCCTTGCGTTCCGCAGTGCACATCGGAGTGTGTGACTTTCCTGCAAGCGCGCAAACAACATCGCCATCATCATCACCATCATCGTCATCATCACCATCATCGTCATCATCACCATCATCGTCATCATCGCCATCATCATCACCATCATCGTCATCATCACCATCATCGTCATCATCGCCATCATCGTCATCATCGCCATCATCATCACCATCATCGTCATCATCACCATCATCGTCATCATCGCCATCATCATCACCATCATCGTCATCATCACCATCATCGTCATCATCGCCATCATCATCACCATCATCGTCATCATCACCATCATCGTCATCATCACCATCATCGTCATCATCGCCATCATCATCACCATCATCGTCATCATCACCATCATCGTCATCATCACCATCATCGTCATCATCGCCATCATCGTCATCATCACCATCATCGTCATCATCGCCATCATCATCACCATCATCGTCATCATCACCATCATCGTCATCATCACCATCATCGTCATCATCGCCATCATCATCGTCATCATCGCCATCATCATCACCATCATCGTCATCATCACCATCATCGTCATCATCACCATCATCGTCATCATCGCCATCATCATCACCATCATCGTCATCATCACCATCATCATCACCATCATCGTCATCATCGCCATCATCATCACCATCATCGTCATCATCACCATCATCGTCATCATCGCCATCATCATCACCATCATCGTCATCATCACCATCATCGCCATCATCATCACCATCATCGTCATCATCACCATCATCGTCATCATCACCATCATCGTCATCATCGCCATCATCATCACCATCATCGTCATCATCACCATCATCGTCATCATCACCATCATCGTCATCATCGCCATCATCATCACCATCATCGTCATCATCACCATCATCGTCATCATCGCCATCATCATCACCATCATCGTCATCATCACCATCATCGTCATCATCGCCATCATCATCACCATCATCGTCATCATCACCATCATCGTCATCATCACCATCATCGTCATCATCGCCATCATCATCACCATCATCGTCATCATCACCATCATCGTCATCATCACCATCATCGTCATCATCGCCATCATCGTCATCATCACCATCATCGTCATCATCGCCATCATCATCACCATCATCGTCATCATCACCATCATCGTCATCATCACCATCATCGTCATCATCGCCATCATCATCACCATCATCGTCATCATCACCATCATCGTCATCATCACCATCATCGTCGTCATCATCACCATCATCGTCATCATCGCCATCATCATCACCATCATCGTCATCATCACCATCATCATCACCATCATCGTCATCATCGCCATCATCATCACCATCATCGTCATCATCACCATCATCGTCATCATCGCCATCATCATCACCATCATCGTCATCATCACCATCATCGCCATCATCATCACCATCATCGTCATCATCACCATCATCGTCATCATCACCATCATCGTCATCATCGCCATCATCATCACCATCATCGTCATCATCACCATCATCGTCATCATCACCATCATCGTCATCATCGCCATCATCATCACCATCATCGTCATCATCACCATCATCGTCATCATCGCCATCATCATCACCATCATCGTCATCATCACCATCATCGTCATCATCGCCATCATCGTCATCATCACCATCATCGTCATCATCGCCATCATCATCACCATCATCGTCATCATCACCATCATCGTCATCATCACCATCATCGTCATCATCGCCATCATCATCACCATCATCGTCATCATCACCATCATCGTCATCATCGCCATCATCATCACCATCATCGTCATCATCACCATCATCGTCATCATCACCATCATCGTCATCATCGCCATCATCATCACCATCATCGTCATCATCACGATCATCGTCATCATCACCATCATCGTCATCATCGCCATCATCATCACCATCATCGTCATCATCGCCATCATCATCACCATCATCGTCATCATCACCATCATCGTCATCATCGCCATCATCATCACCATCATCGTCACCATCGCCATCGTCATCATCATCACCATCATCGTCATCATCGTCGTCACCACCACCACAATAATCACCATCACCATCATCACCACCATCACCATCATCACCACACCCACCACCACACCCACCACCATCACCACCACCAGCACCACCACCACCACGCTCACCCCTGGCCGATCTGGCAGACTTTGACTCTTCACGGATGGACGCAGCCTCCACCTCCTCCTCCACCTCCTCCACCTCCTCCTCCTCCTCCTCCTCATCATCCTCCTCCTCCTCCTCATCATCATCCACCTCCGCTCCCTCCCCATCGCTCTCGTCTGCGGAGATGTAAAGATGTCAACGCGGGGTCTCCTGCTACTCCTGCTGATGATGATGCTGATGATGCTGCTGATGCTGCTGATGATGCTGCTGATGCTGCTGATGATGCTGATGATGCTGATGATGCGTTTTTTAATTTTTTATTTTGCGATTGCACGGAGGCCGACGTGGGGCCGATGACGAAGCTAAAACGTGTCTCAGTGATATCCACTTCTGTGGACAGGTGGCAACAAGTGGGTCTGGGATGGAGAATCTCTATGGGATGGAGACTCTGTATGGGATGGAGACTTTATGGGATGGAGGCTCTGTATGGGATGGAGACTCTGTATGGGATGGAGACTCTGTATGGGACGGAGACTTTATGGGATGGAGGCTCTGTATGGGATGGAGACTCTGTATGGGATGATGGCTCTGTATGGGATGGAGACTCTGTATGGGATGATGGCTCTGTATGGGATGGAGGCTCTGTATGGGATGGAGAATCTCTATGGGATGGAGAATCTCTATGGGATGGAGAATCTCTATGGGATGGAGGCTCTGTATGGGATGGAGAATCTCTATGGGATGGAGAATCTCTATGGGACGGAGACTCTGTATGGGACGGAGGCTCTGTATGGGATGGAGACTCTGTATGGGATGATGGCTCTGTATGGGATGGAGAATCTCTATGGGATGGAGAATCTCTATGGGATGGAGACTCTGTATGGGATGGAGAATCTCTATGGGATGGAGGCTCTGTATGGGACGGAGAATCTCTATGGGATGGAGAATCTCTATGAGACGGAGGCTCTGTATGGGATGGAGGCTCTGTATGGGACGGAGAATCTCTATGGGACGGAGAATCTCTATGGGACGGAGAATCTCTATGGGACGGAGAATCTCTATGGGACGAAGAATCTCTATGGGATGGAGACTCTGTATGGGATGGAGAATCTCTATGGGATGGAGACTCTCTATGGGACGTAGAATCTCTATGGGATGGAGAATCTGTATGGGACGGTGGCACTGTATGGGATGGAGAATCTCTATGGGATGGAGAATCTCTATGGGATGGAGAATCTCTATGGGATGGAGAATCTCTATGGGACGGAGGCTCTGTATGGGATGGAGAATCTCTATGGGACGGAGGCTCTGTATGGGATGGAGAATCTCTATGGGATGGAGAATCTCTATGGGATGGAGAATCTCTATGGGATGGAGAATTTCTATGGGATGGAGAATCTCTATGGGATGGAGAATCTCTATGGGATGGAGAATCTCTATGGGACGGAGGCTCTGTATGGGATGGAGAATCTCTATGGGATGGAGAATCTGTATGGGACGGTGGCACTGTATGGGATGGAGAATCTCTATGGGATGGAGAATCTCTATGGGATGGAGAATCTCTATGGGACGGAGGCTCTGTATGGGATGGAGAATCTCTATGGGACGGAGGCTCTGTATGGGATGGAGAATCTCTATGGGATGGAGAATCTCTATGGGATGGAGAATCTCTATGGGATGGAGAATCTCTATGGGATGGAGAATCTCTATGGGACGGAGGCTCTGTATGGGATGGAGAATCTCTATGGGACGGAGGCTCTGTATGGGATGGAGAATCTCTATGGGATGGAGACTCTCTATGGGATGGAGGCTCTGTATGGGATGGAGAATCTCTATGGGATGGAGAATCTCTATGGGATGGAGAATCTCTATGGGATGGAGAATCTCTATGGGATGGAGACTCTGTATGGGATGGAGAATCTCTATGGGATGGAGAATCTCTATGGGACGGAGGCTCTGTATGGGATGGAGACTCTGTATGGGATGGAGAATCTCTATGGGATGGAGAATCTCTATGGGACGGAGAATCTCTATGGGATGGAGAATCTCTATGGGATGGAGACTCTGTATGGGATGGAGAATCCCTATGGGATGGAGAATCTGTATGGGATGGAGAATCTCTATGGGACGGAGGCTCTGTATGGGATGGAGACTCTGTATGGGATGGAGAATCTCTATGGGATGGAGAATCTCTATGGGACGGAGAATCTCTATGGGATGGAGAATCTCTATGGGATGGAGACTCTGTATGGGATGGAGAATCTCTATGGGATGGAGAATCTGTATGGGATGGAGAATCTCTATGGGACGGAGGCTCTGTATGGGATGGAGACTCTGTATGGGATGGAGAATCTCTATGGGATGGAGAATCTCTATGGGACGGAGAACCTCTATGGGATGGAGAATCTCTATGGGATGGAGAATCTGTATGGGATGGAGAATCTCTATGGGACGGAGACTCTGTATGGGATGGAGACTCTGTATGGGACGGAGGCTCTGTATGGGATGGAGACTCTGTATGGGACGGAGGCTCTGTATGGGATGGAGACTCTGTATGGGATGATGGCTCTGTATGGGACGGAGGCTCTGTATGGGACGGAGGCTCTGTATGGGACGGAGGCTCTGTATGGGACGGAGGCTCTGTATGGGACGGAGGCTCTGTATGGGACGGAGGCTCTGTATGGGATGGAGAATCTCTATGGGATGGAGAATCTCTATGGGATGGAGGCTCTGTATGGGACGGAGGCTCTGTATGGGATGCAGGCTCTGTATGGGACGGAGGCTCTGTATGGGACGGAGTCTTTATGGGATGGTGGCTCTGTATGGGATGGAGAATCTCTATGGGATGGAGGCTCTGTATGGGATGATGGCTCTGTATGGGACGGAGTCTTTATGGGACGGAGGCTCTGTATGGGATGGAGACTCTGTATGGGACGGAGGCTCTGTATGGGATGGAGACTCTGTGTGGGATGGAGGCTCTGTATGGGATGGAGGCTCTGTATGGGACGGAGGCTCTGTATGGGATGATGGCTCTGTATGGGACAGAGTCTTTATGGGATGGAGGCTCTGTATGGGACGGAGGCTCTGTATGGGACGGAAGCTCTGTATGGGATGATGGCTCTGTATGGGACGGAGTCTTTATGGGATGATGGCTTTGTATGGGATGGAGGCTCTGTATGGGATGGAGGCTCTGTATGGGATGGAGGCTCTGTATGGGACGGAGTCTTTATGGGATGATGGCTTTGTATGGGATGGAGGCTCTGTATGGGATGGAGGCTCTGTATGGGACAGAGTCTTTATGGGATGGAGGCTCTGTATGGGATGGAGGCTCTGTATGGGATGGAGGCTCTGTATGGGACGGAGTCTTTATGGGATGATGGCTCTGTATGGGATGGAGGCTCTGTATGGGATGGAGGCTCTGTTTGGGGCGGAGGCTCTGTATGGGACGGAGGCTCTGTATGGGATGGAGGCTCTGTATGGGATGGAGACTCTGTATGGGATGGAGGCTCTGTATGGGATGGAGGCTCTGTATGGGATGGAGACTCTGTATAGGATGGAGAATCTGTATGGGATGGAGACTTTGTATGGGATGGAGACTCTATATGGGATGGAGGCTCTGTATGGGACGGAGGCTCTGTATGGGACGGAGGCTCTGTATGGGACGGAGGCTCTGTATGGGATGGAGGCTCTGTATGGGACGGAGTCTTTATGGGATGATGGCTCTGTATGGGACGGAGGCTCTGTATGGGATGGAGTCTCTATGGGATGATGGCTCTGTATGGGATGGTGGCTCTCTATGGGATGGAGGCTCTGTATGGGACGGAGGCTCTGTATGGGATGATGGCTCTGTATGGGATGGTGGCTCTGTATGGGATGGAGGCTCTGTATGGGACGGAGTCTTTATGGGATGATGGCTCTGTATGGAACGGTGGCTCTGTATGGGACGGTGGCTCTGTATGGGACGGAGGCTCTCTATGGGACGGAGGCGCTGTATGGGATGGTGGCACTGTATGGGATGGTGGCACTGTATGGGATGATGGCTCTGTATGGGACGGAGTCTTTATGGGATGAGGGCTCTGTATGGGACGGAGGCTCTGTATGGGATGGAGGCTCTGTATGGGACGGTGGCTCTGTATGGGACAGAGGCTCTGTATGGGATGATGGCTCTGTATGGGACGGAGTCTTTATGGGATGATGGCTCTGTATGGGACGGAGTCTTTATGGGATGATGGCTCTGTATGGGACGGAGGCTCTGTATGGGACGGAGGCTCTGTATGGGACGGAGTCTTTATGGGATGGAGGCTCTGTATGGGATGGAGGCTCTGTATGGGACGGAGTCTTTATGGGATGATGGCTCTGTATGGGACGGAGTCTTTATGGGATGATGGCTCTGTATGGGACGGTGGCTCTGTATGGGATGATGGCTCTGTATGGGACGGTGGCTCTGTATATGATGGCTCTGTTTGGGATGATGGCTCTGTATGGGACGGAGTCTTTATGGGACGGAGGCTCTGTATGGGATGGTGGCTCTGTATGGGACGGAGGCTCTGTATGTGACGGTGGCTCTGTATGGGACGGAGGCTCTGTATGGGACGGAGCGATGGGGTCTCTATGGGATTTCACCTTTGCGATGGCTCTGTATGGGACGGAGGCTCTGTATGTGACGGTGGCTCTGTATGGGACGGTGGCTCTGTATGGGACGGTGGCTCTGTATGGGACGGAGTCTTTATGGGATGATGACTCTGTATGTGACGGTGGCTCTGTATATGATGGCTCTGTATGGGACGGAGTCTTTATGGGATGATGGCTCTGTATGGGACGGAGTCTTCATGGGATGATGGCTCTGTATGTGACGGAGGCTCTGTATGTGACGGAGGCTCTGTATGGGACGGAGGCTCTGTATGGGATGGAGAATCTCTATGGGATGGAGGCTCTGTATGTGACGATGGCTCTGTATGTGACGGAGGCTCTGTATGGGACGGAGGCTCTGTATGGGACGGAGGCTCTGTAAGGGATGATGGCTCTGTATGTGACGGAGGCTCTGTATATGATGGCTCTGTATGGGATGATGGCTTTGTATGGGACGGTGGCTCTGTATGTGACGGTGGATCTGTATGGGATGGAGGCTCTGTATGGGATGGAGGCTCTGTATGGGATGGAGAATCTCTATGGGATGGAGACTCTGTATAGGATGGATAATCTGTATGGGATGGAGACTCTGTATGGGATGGAGACTCTATATGGGATGGAGGCTCTGTATGGGACGGAGGCTCTGTATGTGACGGTGGCTCTGTATGGGACGGTGGCTCTGTATAGGACGGTGGCTCTGTATGGGACGGAGTCTTTATGGGATGATGACTCTGTATGTGACGGTGGCTCTGTATATGATGGCTCTGTATGGGACGGAGTCTTTATGGGATGATGGCTCTGTATGGGACGGAGTCTTCATGGGATGATGGCTCTGTATGGGACGGAGGCTCTGTATGTGACGGAGGCTCTGTATGGGACGGAGGCTCTGTATGGGATGGAGAATCTCTATGGGATGGAGGCTCTGTATGTGACGATGGCTCTGTATGTGACGGAGGCTCTGTATGGGACGGAGGCTCTGTATGGGACGGAGGCTCTGTATGGGATGATGGCTCTGTATGTGACGGAGGCTCTGTATATGATGGCTCTGTATGGGATGATGGCTTTGTATGGGACGGTGGCTCTGTATGTGACGGTGGATCTGTATGGGATGGAGGCTCTGTATGGGATGGAGGCTCTGTATGGGATGGAGAATCTCTATGGGATGGAGACTCTGTATAGGATGGATAATCTGTATGGGATGGAGACTCTGTATGGGATGGAGACTCTATATGGGATGGAGGCTCTGTATGGGACGGAGGCTCTGTATGGGACGGAGGCTCTGTATGGGACGGAGGCTCTGTATGGGATGGAGGCTCTGTATGGGACGGAGTCTTTATGGGATGATGGCTCTGTATGGGACGGAGGCTCTGTATGGGATGGAGTCTCTATGGGATGATGGCTCTGTATGGGATGGTGGCTCTCTATGGGATGGAGGCTCTGTATGGGACGGAGGCTCTGTATGGGATGATGGCTCTGTATGGGATGGTGGCTCTGTATGGGATGGAGGCTCTGTATGGGACGGAGTCTTTATGGGATGATGACTCTGTATGGGACGGAGGCTTTATGGGATGATGGCTCTGTATGGGACGGAGGCTCTGTATGTGACGGAGGCTCTGTATGGAACGGTGGCTCTGTATGGGACGGTGGCTCTGTATGGGACGGAGGCTCTCTATGGGACGGAGGCGCTGTATGGGATGGTGGCACTGTATGGGATGATGGCACTGTATGGGATGATGGCTCTGTATGGGATGGAGTCTTTATGGGATGAGGGCTCTGTATGGGACGGAGGCTCTGTATGGGATGGAGGCTCTGTATGGGACGGTGGCTCTGTATGGGACAGAGGCTCTGTATGGGATGATGGCTCTGTATGGGACGGAGTCTTTATGGGATGATGGCTCTGTATGGGACGGAGTCTTTATGGGATGATGGCTCTGTATGGGACGGAGGCTCTGTATGGGACGGAGGCTCTGTATGGGACGGAGTCTTTATGGGATGGAGGCTCTGTATGGGATGGAGGCTCTGTATGGGACGGAGTCTTTATGGGATGATGGCTCTGTATGGGACGGAGTCTTTATGGGATGATGGCTCTGTATGGGACGGTGGCTCTGTATGGGATGATGGCTCTGTATGGGACGGTGGCTCTGTATATGATGGCTCTGTATGGGATGATGGCTCTGTATGGGACGGAGTCTTTATGGGACGGAGGCTCTGTATGGGATGGTGGCTCTGTATGGGACGGTGGCTCTGTATGGGACGGAGTCTTTATGGGATGATGACTCTGTATGTGACGGTGGCTCTGTATATGATGGCTCTGTATGGGACGGAGTCTTTATGGGATGATGGCTCTGTATGGGACGGAGTCTTCATGGGATGATGGCTCTGTATGTGACGGAGGCTCTGTATGTGACGGAGGCTCTGTATGGGACGGAGGCTCTGTATGGGATGGAGAATCTCTATGGGATGGAGGCTCTGTATGTGACGATGGCTCTGTATGTGACGGAGGCTCTGTATGGGACGGAGGCTCTGTATGGGATGATGGCTCTGTATGTGACGGAGGCTCTGTATATGATGGCTCTGTATGGGATGATGGCTTTGTATGGGACGGTGGCTCTGTATGTGACGGTGGATCTGTATGGGACGGAGGCTCTGTATGGGATGGAGGCTCTGTATGGGATGGAGAATCTCTATGGGATGGAGACTCTGTATAGGATGGAGAATCTGTATGGGATGGAGACTCTGTATGGGATGGAGACTCTATATGGGATGGAGGCTCTGTATGGGACGGAGGCTCTGTATGGGACGGAGGCTCTGTATGGGATGGAGGCTCTGTATGGGACGGAGTCTTTATGGGATGATGGCTCTGTATGGGACGGAGGCTCTGTATGGGATGGAGTCTCTATGGGATGATGGCTCTGTATGGGATGGTGGCTCTCTATGGGATGGAGGCTCTGTATGGGATGGAGGCTCTGTATGGGATGATGGCTCTGTATGGGATGGTGGCTCTGTATGGGATGGAGGCTCTGTATGGGACGGAGTCTTTATGGGATGATGACTCTGTATGGGACGGAGGCTTTATGGGATGATGGCTCTGTATGGAACGGTGGCTCTGTATGGGACGGTGGCTCTGTATGGGACGGAGGCTCTCTATGGGACGGAGGCGCTGTATGGGATGGTGGCACTGTATGGGATGATGGCACTGTATGGGATGATGGCTCTGTATGGGACGGAGTCTTTATGGGATGAGGGCTCTGTATGGGACGGAGGCTCTGTATGGGATGGAGGCTCTGTATGGGACAGAGGCTCTGTATGGGATGATGGCTCTGTATGGGTCGGAGTCTTTATGGGATGATGGCTCTGTATGGGACGGAGTCTTTATGGGATGATGGCTCTGTATGGGACGGAGGCTCTGTATGGGACGGAGGCTCTGTATGGGACGGAGTCTTTATGGGATGGAGGCTCTGTATGGGATGGAGGCTCTGTATGGGACGGAGTCTTTATGGGATGATGGCTCTGTATGGGACGGAGTCTTTATGGGATGATGGCTCTGTATGGGACGGTGGCTCTGTATGGGATGATGGCTCTGTATGGGACGGTGGCTCTGTATATGATGGCTCTGTATGGGATGATGGCTCTGTATGGGACGGAGTCTTTATGGGACGGAGGCTCTGTATGGGATGGTGGCTCTGTATGGGACGGAGGCTCTGTATGTGACGGTGGCTCTGTATGGGACGGAGGCTCTGTATGGGACGGAGCGATGGGGTCTCTATGGGATTTCACCTTTGCGATGGCTCTGTATGGGACGGAGGCTCTGTATGTGACGGTGGCTCTGTATGGGACGGTGGCTCTGTATGGGACGGTGGCTCTGTATGGGACGGAGTCTTTATGGGATGATGACTCTGTATGTGACGGTGGCTCTGTATATGATGGCTCTGTATGGGACGGAGTCTTTATGGGATGATGGCTCTGTATGGGACGGAGTCTTCATGGGATGATGGCTCTGTATGTGACGGAGGCTCTGTATGTGACGGAGGCTCTGTATGGGACGGAGGCTCTGTATGGGATGGAGAATCTCTATGGGATGGAGGCTCTGTATGTGACGATGGCTCTGTATGTGACGGAGGCTCTGTATGGGACGGAGGCTCTGTATGGGACGGAGGCTCTGTATGGGATGATGGCTCTGTATGTGACGGAGGCTCTGTATATGATGGCTCTGTATGGGATGATGGCTTTGTATGGGACGGTGGCTCTGTATGTGACGGTGGATCTGTATGGGACGGAGGCTCTGTATGGGACGGTGGCTCTGTATGGGACGGAGCGATGGGGTCTCTATGGGATTTCACCTTTGCGATGGCTCCCGGCAGGCTTCGCATCACCGGACAGGGCCTGCTGCATCCGCTGTAGCAGCCGCTGGGAGACTCGATCAGTCATCACCTGTTTAGGGGGTTCACATCAATCACCACCACCATCACCACCACCACCACCACCACCGACAACAACAACAACAACCGCCATTCGCCACTAAGTGGCGGTGACGTCACCACGACGCTTGTGCCAGGCTATGTGCACCCTGAGGCTACCACGTGAAGTGTCGAACGCCCGCGGGCAGGAGGTCACGGGGCAGACCCAGGTGCCACGGGTCGACTGACTGAGATGACTGGCTGATGCACCACCTGTGCCCCCTACTGTGCCAACCTGCTGTGCTTTAGCCACCCGGCGCTCCGCTCGTTGTTGTGAGCGTCGCTCCTCCGCCCTCACCAACTCCACCACCACTAATATCACCACCACCACCACCAACTCCAATAGCAACGCATTCAATACTACGGCTATCAACATCATCATCATTGTCACCTCCACCCTCCAACATCATCACGACCACCTTCACCACCACCATCACCAACATCACCACAACCATCCACATCACCAACACCACCATCACCACCACTAATATCATCACCACCATCACCTCCAGCACCAGCACCACCACCACCATCCACATCACCAACACCACCATCACCACCACTACCACCACCAACTCCAATAGCAACGCATTCAATACTACGGCTATCAACATTATCATCACCGTCACCTCCACCCTCCAACATCATCACGACCACCTTCACCACCACCAACATCACCACCACCATCCACATCACCAACACCATCATCACAACCATCACCTCCAGCACCACCTCCTCCACCACC